TGAAGTCTCGGGCATTCACTTGGTGGGTGTGAATGATGTCAGTCATATGACAGTGCAAATGGAAGACGATATGTTGTTTGGTGAGGCAGAAAAGAATCCATCAAAAGAACTGGACGGAGGTCAATTCCAGACAACAATACGAATGCTGCAGGGAGTTCATACCACTGGTGGCGGTGTCGGCACAATGCAACCTATGACCTTCCAGGTCACCGTAGACGACAACAAGACCTGTGACACTATGCAGGTGTCAGAGAGCACGAAAGGCACGGGCGTCTCCTACTCCAGCCAACCCCATCTCGCGACCTACACTTGTGCCTGTGGTCGAACCTATGCAACCAGTGATTTTGTGCCACAGCCGCTGCAGACCTCGACTGAAGATCGCCAATTTAGTGCCAGCAGGCTTACAATCGCCAGTGCACAATCAGCTGCACCCGCCCTGACCGGATCCGATATTCTGCAGGCATCACAATTCAACTTCAGTAGTTATGCATCTAGTATGTCGCAAACCTTCAACAAGGGAACCCACACAAAGCCTGAAAGTGATGCTGTTGATCGAATTAGCCAAACCTATGGCACAGGACCCAGCGAATATCCCACTGTGCAACCAACAACAGTGGACATGTCATACGCACCAGTCCCGTCTACTGCTGAGGTCTCTCGTGAGTACGCTTCGACTGTGAACTTCTCCACACAAGCCGGCTCCATGCTCATTCCCGCAGTTGTCGACATGAAACGCATCGACTTACAGGGTGCAGAGTTGACACTCAAAAATGAAACCACTGTGGCCTCCCACGAAGTGAACATTCCCGTGGCCTCCCTCCTCTGCGCCAACTCCTCACAGCTCCAGTCTCTCCTAACTACGGATGGCGGTCTTCAGATGATGAACCCGGATGAAGCCCAGGCGTATGGCATCCAAACAGACACCAAAGCCACCGTAATCACAGCGATTGGACATCGCACACCTACAGACAGAGACAATACAATGGCTACGTCGAGGCGCATCGCTCAGATGAACATACAGGCACCCCGGAGTTTGAAAGAGAACATGGTAATCACCATGCCTGCAATGGCTGTGCTCAATGGCCAGAACGCAATCAACACCGGCATGGGGGCAGCAATGTCCCTAGCAGGTGTCAGGACCTCATCAGGGACTGATGCTATCAGCACTGAGCACCTTGTTGCTCTCCTTCGCAGCTCGACTTCCTCAAAACGCCTGCGCATTGCCACTGGAAACATATCCCACTCAGATAAACTCGGAGGAGGTCAATTAATCTCACAACGTTCGGTGAAGGATCTGGCGGAAGAGATCAACCGTGGTACTCAGTCGGCTGTAGGCAGCTTCGTTTCTCCCAGTGGTACTCATGGAGCCACTGGCAGCCAGCACGCTCTGAGATCGATACAGGCTGTTGAGCAATTCCCCGGTACTTCGATTGCCCTTCGCTCTACCGTCACCTGTCCAGGCGCTTCCACAAATCTAA